CTGTATATTATAAACATTCAGGAATAACCTCTCTCTCTGTCTCTGTCTCTTTCTGTCTCTGTCTCTTTCTGTCTCTGTCTGACACACACACACACACACACACACACACACACACACACACACACACACGGAATTTGGTAAAGACCATCAGTGAATCTAAACATTCCTTTCTAAGTAAATATAGATAGAACCCCACAGTCTTGCAAATTATTTTTTTGTCAGTTCATTCAGATCACAAATACATAGTGCTCTTTTCTTCTCTATGTAGAAAAAGAGTGCTTTCAAAAGAGAAAAAAACAGATGCTGTTAGTCATGCAGGGGTTAGTATTAGTTTATTATTGCCAACATATGCCTGCTCTTTACTTGTAGTAAGCCTCCTACTTAGTTTTCCCTTTGTGAACTTTCTGTTCAGGTTGCCTGTTGCTGTGTCACATGCTTTCCCAAAGCAGTAACTTAAACCAGAAACCATTTTCTTAGCCCTTATGATTTTGTGCATCAGGAATTCAGGCATGACTTGGCTTTTGGTTCTTTTGTGAGGTGTTCTTCAGGGTACTGTGGGAGGGCTGGAAGGGAAGGCTCAGTGAGGAACCAGTCTGTCCAGTGGGGCACACAAAGCTTGGGATGACCAAGCACCTGGACTTGAAAGCCATGCTCCTTATTCTTGCTCTGTGGTTGCGGTCACAAGTCCTGCTCAGATTGGAGGAGTGGGAGGACATGGCCCCTCCTCACATTGTATTTGTCAGTCAGGGGTAAGCCAGAGATAGGGGTGAAGTTTATATAGAGAACTTGAGGGTTCTCCTTGTGGTCCTTTCTACTTCCTGTGGCATTCCCTTTCACTTTCTGCCTACTTCCACCCAATAGCTCACATCTTTTTCTTCTGGTTCTTCATCTTCGAGTTTTAGCTTGTGTGGCTTGGACCCTCCAAAAATGAGAAAAACAGCTAGCCAGTGCCAATCACCCTCCAACGTTTTCCTGCTGGTGTCTTCAGAGAGATTTTAAGCACTCTGCTCAGACTTGGTTAGGAACTGCACACTCCACCATTTCTGGAAACATTATCATCTTTGACAGTCTTCACAACTTCCTTTCCTATCCGATTGACTTGGCTTCCAGGACAGCACTATTTTAAGTAAATCACTCTTGTTTAATGTATTTAAATTTTATCATATAATTG